GGCACGGCACGGCACGGCACACAGCATTCACTGCTTATCCAGTCGGAAAATGTTCATACATGACAAGGTCACGGTAGCGGTACAGCACGTGGGTACCGTGCTGTTTTCGCACTTATACGAAATCAGCTCTAAAAGAAAATAACTCAGTTCTTAGTGTGACAAATATTTACCGATCTGGGCCGATGGTTTGTAAAGCAGCTCTGATAGCATCACATATACRGTCTACCTTAGTCTTCTCGTCAGCCGTGCTAAAACATAAAGAAAATTGTAATTGAAGAGAGAAGAGATTAAAGCATTGATGAAAGAACAGCTCGAGCTTCTTAGCGACAGGCTGTAAGATGTTTATCAAAATTAATAATACCCCAACCTTCTGCAACTTTTAACGAAAAACCTACTTACTTTTTTGATACTTTTTTAACACTTTATATTCAATCAGAAATATAGAAACCTTTACATATATTGATTCTTTTTTTCCATTAAGATATAAGCTTTCCTACCCTGTTTTTGAAGTGTCGTAATAATCTGAATACATCTTAGTAGTTACATCTTCCTCTCTACAATAAAAGTAAATAGATACAAATAAAATGAAGCAAAATAACGCTCTTACTGAGCAAATATCTGTCAATAAACATGAATGCAAATGACAAATTCCCAAGCAGATTATAAAATGAATATTCACTTACTTGAGGTCTGATAAAAACAGATTGATGAAGTTAACTGATTCCACTTGACGGACAAACGTCTCTACATTATCCATAAAAAGCTGTTGGCGAAAAAACCAAATCATAAAAACAATTCATTTTCATCGGACGTTCTTCAATGAGCAGAATTTCGTTTATGTTCATACCTTAGGGTTGTGATCATAAATAAGATTTAGATTAATTCGATGTCTTCTCATCGTTACGAAAGCGTTCTTGTACTGCAAACTTAAAACAATGGATCAAATAAAAGGGTTATAACAATGAAATAAAGAAGAATTGGTATAGGTAATAGGACTACATGTTGTCCAGTTTGGAAATAATTGGATGAAATCAGAGGAATTTTTTTAATTCAATTATTTCCAAATTGGACAGACATGTAGTCCTATTGCAGATTAATTATATCATCCCAAACTATACTAGACTGATTCCATAAGTCATAGTTTTCCATCGAAAGAATGCGAATGGAAACGATCCAAATTAATCTTTAATTTGACCAGGAAAGAGAATTTGAAAATAATACAATAGTTGCTTATATGGGATTATAGAGTGATGATACAATTACAGAAAAAATTAGCCTGCGTGGCAACTCTCTGGGACTTTTTCCCTCCTTCCCAATCCCCCAGAGAGTCGCCACGCAGGCTAAGGAAACTGGATTACTTACTTATCAAGACATTTCTGTAGAAACGACAGGACAAGTGCTCTTGGGTGGATGGTTTCTAGGTTACCACGTGGCATCTGGGCATCAAAAGATTAACAATTTTGATGTGTGTTTTATGTTTATGACGTCATAATAGAGGTTTTGCACCATCACGTAACGGCAGCCAAGTTAGATGGCAGGAACAATACAGTCGTTTTACATGAGAAAGAATTCAATTCCCAAGAGCAAAGGGATTTTATTGTTCTGCCATCTAACCACAGGCAGTCCAAGCTGGATTATGGCGCCGGCACGTGATGGTGCAAAACCTCTATACAGAGAGGATGGTAAAATACGGACCAGCTAAGACAGGGACGTATCTAGGAATGACCTTGGACGTACGAGTACTCCACACCRTTACCTGTTACCTATCTTCCTCGCGCCTCATGGCACATAGTACTCACGCTATCCTCACCAAATTACCGCTYCCTTCCATTGCACCAAAACACGTGCATATCGTAATAGACCTTGTTTGTTGTCTTCACATTTAAGACCACGTGYCATTCCCTAGATTATTATTTCTTTGTTTAACGGTTGTACATGAGAAGACATATGGATACAACTCAAACTAAAAATCCTATTCTCAAGAGAATAACACGTGGTATGAAATGGAAACTTTGCACACACCAAACTAACATGGTATAATAACCTGGCACCGTGTAGAATGGTAACATGCACCATAGGACTTATTTCCCTGAAAACGCCCCTGTATCGGATATCTTACATTACCTGTAACACTAGTTTAGTGTCTTGTCTCACAGCCACCACTATACGAGAGCCTCGTTCAACCCTTCTGACATTCTCGTCCATCGGGTATGGCTTGTCTTCCACCAGAACCGGTAAACCTGACAAGAAAAAAGCTGTATTCACATTGCTTTTTTTTTCATTGGCTGAGAAGTGACCAGTAATTGGTTCAAAGGATGTTGTCAATCTCTAAACTTAAACAAAACCCGTTTCATAGGCTGACATAGGGTAATCATAGGGTATCAGTCTCCCATCACGTGATTCCTACCTTTGCTGGACTTCAGTAGGCTGATACAGCGGCAGGTGTGCGCATGCGTCGTTAGAATCAAAAACTCGTCGTGGACAGCGAACGATGTGCAGTTAGTAGCAACCTTGATAAACAAATAAAGAGAAAAAAATTCAAAAAGGGTTGGAATTACAACAACATATTTATTATCATACTTTCTTCTATTCCTTCTCGGTCACTCCCCATGGAAATAGAAAGTTTGAGCAATTCGTGAAACAAAATATTCTTCGTCAAAATAGCCGGGGAGAAACAATAGGAAAAGAATTCCAAGTAGTCCTAGATAAACAAAAGATTATCTGTGTTTGTCGAGGTTTGCAAAAGGTAAAGTGAAATTCAGGGAAATAATGAAAACGTACTTATGTCTGCTGTTTGCGGGAAGAAAAAACGGGATTCTGAATCTAATAGTAGCTAGCTATCTTACCTCTTTATCGYTGGCGTACAGTCTTCCATGTTCTGTCAGACCGAGAACGATTTCCTGCAATACGATGTTTATTACATTAATCAATTTGATTTGGCAGCATCTTTTGGGCCAAAACGTTCCCGCTCACCCACTCTTCGAAACTCTGGAACATCGCTATGCCCATGTAATACTGTATAGAAAATTACCATCAGTTTTTGTTCCATGTTAGTTTTATATTCGCTATACTGAGTTGTTTGGTGACAGCCTGGTTTAGTACCGTACATATAAACATACCTCATCTCCTATGGTTGCTGTTTGTAACTGCACACAAGGTTGAGGAAGACATATGGGATCTCCTTTACCACTCAATAATGGAGATAAATGTATCCCGTTCACTTCTGAAAAAACCCAGTAGGGTTAAAGTAGAATAAATTAGATTAGATTTGAGCAGGGCAGGGCAGGGCAGGGCAGAGCAGGGCAGAGATTATGGTATTCAACGCCCTAGCTAGAGAATGGGGAACTCTTTATTACACAAATTATAGTATATCACCAAAAACTTAGTAACTTTTCTTTGAAAGCTTTACTGACCTGAGGCGTACTTCCATATGTTCCCATTAGAGCTCTGTATCACTAGTGAGCCAGTGTCAGGATTACTATACATACGAAGCACTGGTTCCTCTGTTGGCTGTGAATGACTACATAATGCAACAATTCCATTCAGATTTTATCAAACTTCGCAATAAAATGTAATCAGTTGAGTCAGTCAGTCAATCAGTCAATTAATCAATAAAATTATAAAGTGTAAACAATAGTATGATCACTAACAACCTTTTGGCTCTCAAAACTTAAATACTATAACAATAACAACAGCAGTACAATGAAAACTACTCAATGTAACAAGTCGGTATAACAGGCCGTGGATTGTGGTCTAGTTTGGATACAAACAACACCATATAAGACATGATGAACAAAACATGTTTGTACCCGAGCCAGATCACAATGCACTATGTTCGCGTTTTTACAAAAAACGCCTATTTCCTGTACATAGTTATACATATTCAAACACTTCAACAAAATGACTTCAAAAATATCAAATACTTGAATACAATTTGTACCTGACTGTAATCACTGCTTTCCCCGCCTCTTCTTTATTGATATCCATCTGACAGAGGACGTCTTTCTGTTCCATCACATCCCAACCCACTGCAACAAGCTGCTTTTCTTTCCACCATGTCAGATGATGAAGGAATAATGGTCCTTTCCATAGACCTGATACGCCATCAAAGTCCATCCTGAAATAAGGACGACTTTGCTAAGCTAGCTTAACCATATTTTATTGCGATACGACAGTAATACAATAGGAAGCCATTTTCATGTCGTAACGTGTACGTGTGATAACCATTCTTATGACAAGCCATTTCAATGTTACGGCATATCGTAACGCGTACGTACTATAAGTCAGTATGGTATGTTTTCCACTCATACTATAACCATTTTTACGGGAAGCCATTTCAATTTACTGCATGTTGTACCGTGTACGTGCTGTAAGTCAGTGTCGTACATTTCCTACTGATGCGATAAACATACTTGCGAAAAGCCATGTCAATGCTATGGCATGTCGTACCGTATACATGCTGTAAGTCAGTATATTACTTTTCCTATTTAGGAAAAAAGCCTCTCTGACTACTTACTTCTGGGTACCAATAACCCGTGGGAGGTCCCCAGAGGGCTTGAACTCGTCTTTATGTGACCCCTCAACTAATGCCAGACTGCCATCAGACAACAAGACCGCCATGTCGTTACACAATGGAGGTGGAGCAAATGTTACGGCTTGTACAGCTGTTGGCATGGTAACAGTTTGAGCTGCCATGGGTGGAGGTACCACCATGTGACGCATGGGTGTCAGTAGCAGACGAGCTGTTAAGCAAAGACATTTGAAACTTAGCAACAACAAAAGCAATTCCATCAATTCTCAAATGAAGCATATATTTTAGTATTTTCAAAGGAATTTAATTAAGTCGACTAAACATCTCCCCTGTGTTAATAGAGAGCTTCTCTAAAGCATGCACAAATGCTGTCCATGTATCCCTTTGTTGTAGCACACTATGACAACCCAATCAAAACGAGCAAAATTATCATTTGTCCATTCAGAATCATCATTGAAAGTCAAATTTTCTTTTCTTTTCTTTTTTTTTAGAGAAGAAAACTCAAAAGCTGTAGTAATGAAATATCAATCGTTTTGGTCAACTTACTTCCATCTATGACAGCAACGGTAGACAAGTTATTAGAAGAGTTGCCTTGGCTGTAGGTAGTTGACCAACACCACTCATAACAGATGTACTGTCCGCCTGAAAATATATTGACAGATATATCTTGATACGAAGCCTTAATTGCGAATTAGAATGAAACAGTACATATCGTACCCTGTTCGCTCTGTTCTCTTCTGCCCTCCTCTGCTTTGCTCTTCTCTCTCCTGCTTTGTTTTTCTCTCTTCTCTTCTCTACTCATGGTGTACAATTTACCCTTTTATCACTACTGCTTCATTAGAAACACCGACACAGCTCACACTAGTCTTTAGCTAGTTATCTCTTCTTCTCTACTCAGTTTTTTTTTGCTCTGCTCAGAGTGCTTCTTCCTCTGCTCATACTGCTCTGCTCTGCTCTGCTCTGCTCTGCTCTGCTCTCCTTTTTTCTGCTCTGACTATTTTGCTCTACTCTGCATCTTCTCCTCCATCCTTCTCTTCTACTCTAATCTCTTATGACACTTCTATTTTGCTTTTCTTTTCTCTTCTTTTCTCTCCAGTCAACACTTTTACGTATTTCAGTCCCACCTATTTCCTTTGCTTTCTTTGTTCAATACATTAAGTAACAAGTACCACAAACAGAGATTAAAGACCAATACATACCAGAGCACATAACATGTAGTTTCAGTGGAAACTCAGGATCCCAGACAAAACATGCGACTTTGTCTTCTTGTGTCGCACTAAAACATATCTCCTGCTTGAGATACCAGTGATAGTTATTAACTGTCCACAGCTGAACTGGAAAACAAACAACCCAATAAAAACACCTCAGATGAGTCTCAATCATTATCCAAAGAAAAACAACCACAGAAAATAATTAACACTCTGGTACAAGTGATGTTGAAATATAACGTTTTACAGCTCCCACTAACAGAACATGTACTGCAAGGTTTCCTCATTTGTATGATCTTGTCCACTGTGATTAGAAAAATGTTGTTAATGGAGTGATGCCRGCTATGCTTGAGTGTCCATCCAAACAATGGATAGTTTTCCCAATGGGATACAGAATGTCCAACCAACAAACTCGAATTCATAAAAATTTTGAGTAGTTATCGATTTTTTTCAATGTATCTTTAAAATGCATTTATTCTAAGATACTGAGAGAATTACAATGTTCAGCAATCAGTGTCTGTTCACCGGTTGTGCATGAGAAAAAACATGAATCAATATAGATACAACACAACCAAAGATCTCATTCTCAATGTATGTGGTCTGAAATGGAAAAAATATTGAAAATATAAAGAGGACTATTTTAGTTTTGCACAAAATGTCAACTTTTGTTGTGCTTTTTAAGTCTATTGTTCTTACCATATGACTTGGGAAAGTTGTCTTTAGCAGGCATATCTTCTAACCAAACAGCAAGAACTGAGGAGTCACTATTCCACTGCATTTCATTGACCTATGTTTTGAAAAGGGAATGCTTGTAAATGACACAAAATGGCAGTAAACAAAGACCAAGTAAAGCAATAGTGGAAGAATGGATGAAGTAAAAAAATTATATTCTTTACCCTTTTTTTTTTTTTTTGCTTCTTGCTTAATTTAAATAAGACATCAGTTTTTATAGAAAAAGATTGGAATATCAAGAAATGGGGAGGGTTACAGTACCTGCATGCAGGAGGGTGTATTGTGTTAACCTATACCTCTCCTATGGAGGGGGAATGGAACTTCTGAGGGGTGGGGAGGGTCTGAGGAGGGTACAGCATATTGTGTAGTTCCCGAAAATATCCATACCTCCTCTATGGATGGGAAATTGGATTTCCAAGGGTTGAGGAGGGTCTGAGGAGGGTATATTGTAAAGTATTACATGTAGTTCTACCCTCATAAGTCTACATATTTTTGGGATTAGGAAGGGCCTCACATTTATTCCCTCTTATATGGAGAGAAAGATGTGGATATTTTCTGAAAGGTTCTTTTAGTTCATTACTTTAACTTCCATCCTATCAAAAGGCAAGGTAAATTCTCCGTGCCTCAGACCATTTCTCTCAAAGAATACCACTTCATGGCGATGAGGCTTTCGTTGTGTTGATCCAATGAGACTTCCAGAAGGCCTGCAAACCAGATATGAGAATCCAAGAGGATTAAGAATCATTTTATTTACCTTTTACCAAAATTAAGCCAATATGGATTTTTTATTTCATGCATCATTATATGAGTGGCATGGATGGTAATTTAGCTTGGGTACGTATACCATCACAGGGAGTTGTGGTTGCAAAATATTTTATGATGCATATACTGTATATCGTAGATGATAATCATAATTCCACTTACTTCCAGCAAAGAGGAGATTCAAGTCCATCGACATCCTCGCTGCTTGTCATCAGAACACCTTCTCTGTTCCATACTCTCAGTTTTCGTGCCCCTAACACAAAAAAAGTCACAACAATAAGAAAGAATGGTTAACATTAGAAATATACTCAGTCATGCAACCAATGTCCTGAGCATTTCACTGTACCTGTATCTGTCTCTATGGCACTAACAACAAAGTATTGTCCATCACCTCTCCAGCTAATACGGCACTGCTTGTCATCCCATTCAAAAGCTGGGTTAACAATCTATTTAAAAAGAATGTTCTTATTCATCTTGTAGTCTATTATAGTACTGTATATTTCCAGGTCAAAAGTGCTTATTTAAATGCTAAAATAAAGCCAAAATTGGAATCTAAAATTTATACTAGACCTGCAACTACGTACTACTAACCAAGTTGTTTTCATACAGTATCTACATGCTAATATAGCCCACCCGTATCTGGTCAAGTCAACCGGAGTCAAGTCATCCAGAGTTGTGGTCAAATCACCCGCAATGTATGGCCAAGTCGCCCGGAGTTTTTTACTTAATGGATTGTCAAACCAGTAACACATATATAACTTATTTAGCAGTAGTAAAGCTTTGTTAAACATTTGTAAGGCATTTTAGATTAGTTTTCGGCAATTATTATGATTATTCGATTGTCACACACAAAGTTTTCAGTATGAGGTTACGTGCTAAATTAAATTWATTCTTACTGCCTGTCATGAATGACTGAGCATTTAGCACGTAGCCTCGTACTGAAACCTTTGTGCAAGACAAGCGAAGCATATCTCAGAAGTGAGCTATTGAGACAAAACACCTATACACACGTCAGGTTGACTCACATTTTCAACCTAATTTCAAAATTGTTTGTATCCATTTATTTGACCGATTAGTAGGTTTAGGCTAAAACAATTAAACCCCTCGCACTCATAATCTTCAAGTCAATAATACCCATTTGGTCTTTGGCCTAGACCAATTGGGCTTTGGGTCTAATTATAAAGTAACCGGTCATATCATTTTGTCTCAAATTACATGTACAAAACAACGAAATTAGTGATAAACAAAAATAAAGATGCAAACTGACCACTGGTTTAAGCTTTTCTGCCGTTGGTTTACCAACTGATCCATGGAATTGGGTTTCTTTTTTACCCCAGCCAACATTGATTGGTTTTTCTATGGAGAACAAAATTTACGAAAATCACATTATCACCAGAACGACCAAATGGCGTAATTGTATAGTTTGTAGCTCAATCATCCCTCAAAGAATTTGAATAGAAATAACCAGGGAATAAAGCGAAAAGCAGTGTGAGAGGCCTGAAGAGTATATCTTTATGTATGGTTCTAAAACTGACTGCAAAACACTAAATGGCCCTTTAAGCTAGGAAACATAATTAGATTTCACCGCTATTTTATTCAGAATATCATTTTCAGTAAACCATTGCAAGTACCTTCTCCAAATTCAGTTGTGTGAATAGAAAGTTCTGTTATTGGGTCAAATTCTCTTGTCATCATTATAAGAGTGTTGTCACCTGAAAAAAGTATATAATTATTCATCTATTTGTTCAGTATTAATTTGATTTAAATTATGATTTAGTACAGAGCAAATGAATGAATGACTGACTAACTATCAAAATAACCAACCAATATTTAATATTGTGATCACTTTTACAGTGCGACATGCAAAAGTAAACTGAGTCACATCATTTGATGCTGCCGAACAAGCTTTTACAAACTTTATATTTGGTAAAATCAGTCAGCGTTAGCATCATAATGTATTGGTTTAATTATGTACAAAAGTCTGTGTACATATAAGTATGCATGCAAATACATTATTGCAGGTCAAACCCGGGGGGGGGGGGGCACTCTTGCCCATTTAGGGTAGGGTTGTGCTGCTGAGCCCTCTGAACCCTGACCCTGTTCCAGAGTAAAATCGCTGAAATTCATACCCTGTTCCAGAGCAAGATCGCTGAAATCATACCCTGTTCCTGTATTTCGAAAATGGATACCCTGTTCCAGAGAGGAGATAGCGCRATTTTATATACCCTGTTCCAGAGTAGAATAGCTGAAAACCATACCCTATTTGGCAGCACGTACCCATACAGCGAATATAGGGGAGTACCCTCCCCCCACCCCCCCGGGCCAGTTGGTAAATGCATGTATACACACATATGTGCTGTTCACGATATTCAATGTTCATAATTCTCTTCAACTACTGTAAAATCAATCCTGTTGAACTGAGAATATGCTGTCCATGCTCTCTCAATTAAGGCACTCTTCACAACTTTTAGGAGGGTGCATCTTTTATTAGATATAACATACCAGTTGAAAAGACTACCAGTTCCTGGTCAGGACTCCATGACATGCAAGTTATTCCACTGTCAACACTTCCAACACATTCAAGCTTAAACAAATAAAAGATTCAAAATATTGTCACAAAACTAGATATATTGTAGTTGATGTATCTTCCCTCGTAAGGGGAGCAAGTGTTATCCCCACCAGGTCAATTAACAATTTAATCCCCAATGATATACAGTAATAAATCTCAATAGACACCCTAGCTAGTCTGCTTTGACTTCCCTTGTATAGGACTTTAATTTCTAATTACTAATTACTAATTTTTAAATACTGTAAAAATGGAGCAAAGCAGTGATGGAATGAGGAGGGTAATAAATTGCATACAGTATCTTTATCCCCTGGGGAGAAGGGCTAAATAATCTTATCATACCTTCCAATTAGACTTTCTAGTGTTCTGGCCCTCTTAAACTTGGCCATATAATGATAAATGTTCATATTTACCTCTTCAGTATTAGTGTTGCATAATATGACATCTCCTGCCAGAGTAGCAACACAGACTGACTGAATATCAGGTAAGTGTTGAATGCCAATGACTTGACCACTACCATCATCAGGTAAATACTCATCTGTTACTAGTGATACATTAGATTCCACCTTAAAACGACAAATTCAAAAGACCTCTTTACCTTGGGCACACCGTTTTCCCATTTCAGACCATGTGTTATTCTCAAGAGTACGGTATCATTTCTTCGTTCGTAAGAAAACAAATGAATATGAATATGGACACAAAAAATCATATTCTCAAGAGAATGAATTAGCTGAAAGAGGAAAGCATTACACCAAAGGTAAAAAGGTCTTTAAAATAAATGAATGGATATTGAATGGAACAATAGGCTTTAACTTATTTCCATTGCTCTTACGTTATGTTGGTAATTGTGGCATCAGCTGCAATCATATTATACCTGTTGGGTACTTGGATTGAATCCTATAATATTCGTAGCAGTAGCAGTATAAACACTCCCTGTATCACAGTCAACAGTCAAACATGATGATCCTTCACTACCATCTATCTCTGTCACTGGAATGCATCGTAAAACCTCGAGATTTCTCATCGTTACTAAAAGATTAAAACAAATAAAACTTTAACTTCTTTACCCTAAAGAATAAGCACCTCTACGTATACAAACTTAGCCTAAATATGACTAACGTTGTACAGTACAAGAACATAGTTATGAATAGAAGCTGTAAGTGAGAAAATCAAACCTGATAAAAACGCTTCCTTTTTCGACACATTGGAGCCCAGTTTACGCAATACATACCTTATATTAACAGGCTAGTTTAAGATCCTTTTGTTTTTAAAGAGATCGGCTTGAATTCTTCAAAGAAAACCAAGCATTTTCACGATGTTTTGAAGCAGCCATGTGGGAATAGCAAAGCTAATGGSGAATACCGCATGCTCATAGTCAGAGGACTAGGGAGAATCAGCATCAGAGACTTTAACGTAATTTTCCATAGAAGCTTATTTTTACTTTCTTATATCATAGCATGCAATTTTTATATTAGCTTAAATTGATCGAAATTATTTCACTCTTTTTGCAAAAAAGAGAAAGTACATTAAAAAAAACAATGTATAACTATTTGAGCCCGCGTTTGATCAAACATCTCGGACCACTATGACACAGGGAGCCCAATACAATAACGTATTCTGTGCAGAGTTTGTTTGCAATATTTTTTATAAACAGTATTGGAAATTTAGCATAAATATTTTATCTCCGATTTTGAGGATCTAAAACGTTCCTACTTGAAGTCGTAAGATGTTAAGCAATCTACCTTGGCCGTAAACTATGGCTAAACTGCCTTTTGTGACTTCTAGGGAGTAATATAATATTTTTGAAGCCTGCAACGCCCGGTACGTACAACGCTATTTTTTTCTCAGTTTTGAAATGAGCTCAATCAGAAGTTAAACTTCAATATAAGCTTGAAGTTCAAGGTTTAATTTTGCCAATGAGTTGTTTCCTGGTATCTGGAGAGGTCGAGGAGATCATACAACAAGCCAAAACCAAGTCATACAAGAATTTGTATCTGAACTATCAACACCTGTCAGAGTTGCCTTCAGGATTGTTGCAGCTGGACAAGGCTGAAAAGCTCTACTTAAAATACAATATCTTGAAAAAACTGGTGAGAATTATTATTGGCTCTGTAATACCACAAAATATATCTGCCTCGTGAAAGAGAGAGGCTTAATTTGAGGGAGGTATTCTTGGAGTGCAACCACGAAATCCCTTGAGTTGGATATAAATTAATAATGAATTCCCCGCCATGTTGGTAATTATTCTAACAAGAAAAGCTAAAGGTGCGGACACAAGGTGTGATGTTGCATGCGATGTCACAAAACTAGGATTAATTTCTACTTCAATCTGTGATGTCACATCAGGCCTGTAGCAGGGGTAAAATATTGGGGGGGGGGGGGGGGGGAGTAAACCCCAAAAATATTATCGAGCAAGCACCTACGGCAAAAGAAAAAAAAGGCGCATTGTTAATGTCCCAGGGGGGGGGGGGGGGGGGTTAGGGGGGGGGGGGGGGGGGGGTGGCTCGTTTTGTCACGCCCCATATGACCGTATCAACTTTCATCAAATTTACAAAACAGCATAATTAATAATTAAAATTCTTTATTTTATGGGCAACTTAGACCTTCAGCATCGAACATGTGAATATCTATTCAATAATATCACGTCAGTGCATGTACAAGCAAAAAATATAAATTCAACATATGTATATGAAGCACACAGCTGACTTAAAATAAAAAGAACCAGTTACCTTTAATTAAGCCTGAGTTGATTTCAATGCTTGATTAAAGTGTTTTGGTATGTCTTTCTCACTGAACTTGCCAAACAACCCTCTTTCTGTTTTCTTTACCAGACACAAACGTGTTTGCTACATCTAAAAGACTGATGGCATCCTCGTGCACATGAACATGAACTTTTTTTTGGAAAAATGAGTCGCCTCTATCAATTTTAAGATAATAGTGTTTGAAATTTAGCTGGACTTTTACTTTAAAAAAAAAGTTTTGAAATCATTGGGGGGCCTAGRCCCCCAGGCCCCTCCCCCCGCTACGGGCCTGCACATTCAGCATTGCATGCAACAACGCATATAACATCTCACCGTGTGACACCCAAAGCACAGCCTTTTTCATGCAATGTTGCAGGCAATACCCCATTATTGTGTGTCTGCACCTTAGCTTAATGAGGAATGATTTTTCATCATAGCCAATCATAGTGTACAAAATTTCAGTCCTCTATAATATATAATAAGATCCTTATAAGACCAATGTAACCCTCACATTTGGGTTGGAAGCATTTTGCTGTGCTTCTGACTGCCAATAAGTATTTAGGAAGTGAGTCCTGGGATACCTCAAAACTTTGATATGCATTTTTTTGTCCTATTTTGCATAATAATGCACAATTTCATCATTGACATCCCCATAATTTAATGTATGGCATGTATTTTTTCCTTTTTATATTTCATAGCCATCAGATATTTACAGACTTGAGAGTTTAGTGGAACTGTAAGTAAAAGAAACGAAAAGTTAAATGACTTCTTTGTATAAACAAAGTATTTTTTGACCATTTTTACTTTTTGTTTTCATAGTTATCTTCATTCTAATGATCTTCAAGAATTACCAGAGGGTAAGTAAACCTTTTGTATTATACTTAATCAGTAAAACAAACCTGAGTGCCCGGGGGG